ATTCGCATTTTTACGAGTAACATATGCTCACTGTAATTAGTAGGAGCGGATAGGCGTAGCAGAGTGTAAAGAAAGCAATGCAGCAAATGCTGAACTTCGAAAATGTTTTTTCAGGGAATTCAATGGCGAGACCTCAAAGAATGTGCGAACAGTGTGATGCCGTTTGAGATGGCAGAGGAGAGACACGAGAAGGAATAGCAAAGAAATGCTGTTCGCAGAATATTACTTGAAAATTTACATCTTCGAAGTACAATCAGCATTTTATCTTATTTTACGGCACCTTACATAGAAGGTCACAGAGATTCAACCCTGATCCATTGCACGTTTGCTTGAGTTTTGATATAGTTTACTTACAGATAAAAAATGTAAGAATCATGGAGGATGACATCGGTAGAGCTCATTTAAATGGTGCACAAGGAAATGCAAACAATATTACAATGGAAACCTTATTTAAGCACACTATTTACAACCGAGCACCAAGCAAAATCAAGCCTTGCCAACTGCGGGATTCCGAGAGGATTATAACAATGAAAGGGGATTACGTCGCTGACAGTCACAGCAACTAGCGTTGGAGTCTCAAACTCACCGGAGACATTGGCCGGACTAACAGATCCAATCACTCTGGCTTCTCCATAGTCGTTCTGCCAATCGGGCACGTTGTATTGACTGAATTCGTTGCGAGACTCGTTGAATCTCACACTCCGTCTCGGGGTGTGGTTATGTAGTTCGCGGTCGACGGGATCCCTTAGCACCGTAACCTGCACGGCTCTTTCCGGCTCCGGGGTCTTTCTGCCAAGAATTCGATTCTTCCACGAGAATATCCCAGGCATATGGCCCAGTCGCGGTCGACTACCGGAAAGGACACCGGGATCTCAGGAATTCGAGAATGCGCTTTAGTCCACCCTAGTCGGGTTAGGCTTGTCGAGGGTCAATGAACTGCGGCGATATTACACAGCGCGAAGAGGGGAGATGGCGAAAGTTCAGGCGATTGCTGCTGCACTGCGGCCTCTCCTGAACATCGCAGCGCAGTTGAAACTCCCTCGGCTGACCAGCGCTGTCCCCTCCGAACACCGCCTCAGATTACTCACTCCCGGGATAAGCACAGTTGTTCCGCCATCTTTCAGCTTTACTTCCACTGCATGTACAGAT